AAATATATATGTAAACTAAATTTCGATTTGTGTGTATTTATATTATTTATTAATGTAAATAATTATATATTATGTAGGGTAAAACCGGGATAGATGCGCAGTGGGATAGGTGCCTCGATTTCAAAAAACCTCAGTTCCCCAAATCGCAACAAAGAATAATTAGTTTAAATAAGGAGTATAGACACCACTCATCAAAGTTCCTTCAGGGTTTCGTGTGGAATAGATGCGTTTGCATTGTGCATGCGCTTATCTCCGCGATGAACACGATAAACGGTTCAAAATTTCAGACGCAAGTATTTACTGTCGCATAACCTTATAAGTTACAATAAATTCCGTTTTATTTTTATTATGACTATACACTGGTTCATTAACTGCGCACCTAGGTGTCAATAATCGCTCTTTTGCATATAGCTTAGTTATATAATAAAAGGGCATCTATCCATATCAAACGGCCCTTAGGGGCAAAGGACAAGACAAGAAAGTTAGGAAAAGAAAATAAAAAAATAAATACATTATTTTAGTGAAAAAGACATGTAAATGATAATAGCTTAAAAGTAAGTAAAAGTAAAAGTACCAAAAAGTCAAATTATTCACAGTTCAAACAGCGAACATTTTTGTATAGAATGTTTTGATAGTTACAAAAATACGAAGTGAAGTATGTAGTAATTTTAAATACATATATATATATTAATAAAGATGTAATATGTATATACAACATATTAAAGATTACAAGTAAAACACTTTATTATTAATTTTACTATTTACACCTATCCTTCTTAGTATTTTCATTGTGTGGCGTCTATCCATATAGGTAGGCATCTATCCTCAAAAAATAGGTTTGGAAAAAGTCAATTTCTTCAAAATCAGTAAATGTTAGATCAATAAAATCAAGTATTAATGTGATGTAAAAGATTAATCTAGTTATATCCATAGGAATTAGTCATGGTAAACTAATAATTTTTTGGAGGAGGCCCTTTCAAAAAGTGGGGCTATCTATCCCGGTTTTACCCAATATACTGATATAATATAAATTTTATGTATACTTGTTTAAAGTTTGGCTATTGTACTTGTAATTGTAGGTTTGTGTGTGTGTGTGTGTGTGTGTGTGTGTGTTTGTGTTGACACGGGTCCCTTCAAGCCACTTAGCCTGCAGCCCTGCACAGATAAGAGATTTTTTTTCCTGTGTGTGCTGGAAGTTGAGACCAACCAACCCGTTTTTTTACTGTAATTTTGCATTCCATTCTATTCAACGAATGTATTCCTAGCCTAGAATATTATTAATTTCATTGTATAAGTAACTTCCAAGAAAACAAACGCACCTATATTGAGATAGTAATGAAAGTTTATTTATTTTATGTTTTTTCATGTTTACTTTTGTTATAACAGGATTTCAGTTATTGAAAATTACTTGATGCCTCTTTTGGCCGACAGACTGTCGCACTATTATTTAGGCACTCTGTATATATTTTGTAAAACCTTGTTAATGTTATGGAAAAACAATAAAGTATTGAATATTGAGTAAACAGTTGGAAACAGCACAATATGCCAAGTGCACTGTACCTAGTCCCCAAGTCTGGTAACATAATTGAAACTCTAGTCATTGCAATTTCATTCGACTCCACTGAGTTTACGTTGCAATTGTGATAGTATTTGTTATTCTGTTAAAATCTAGTTGCAATGGCAGTTGAGTCTCAGTAGAGTGGTAGTGGAAAGGTAGTAATGGCATTCATTCATTTTGGCATGAGTAGAGCTCTTTGTGAAAGAGTTGGTCCAGGGAAGTACTGGCACCTTACCTATTTCTGCCGTTCAGAAGGCTGAAGGTGCTGAGGATCGGTTCAGAACCTTACGATAACTTTGTCAATCGATTCGATTTACTACGATTTCTTTTCATTTTTATTTACAACACCCGAATAGAACGACAACCGAACGTCGAACCGAAATGACGTCACACCCGAACGATTATTCGAACTTCTCGACCGGCAAAGGCTACAAACGTTATTCAGAACGCAGTTATCGATTGAAGTTACCGAACGTACTATTGTTTGCAAAGCAAGAATGTAATATGGAAATCTTTTATTCCTTTATATATAGTCTGGATTATGTTCAATTTTATTAGTTTATTTTAATGCAAGACTAATGCATCCCTATATTTTAGGACATTAAAGTCTTAAAAATTATATAAAAGGATTTTCATTTTTCTTTTTTAATTTATTTTTTATTTTATTTTATTTTATTGGATGTGCAAAACAGTTTATATTCAGTGGAACATGTTGAGATACAATTTATGGTCTTAATCTAAAACGTAGACCTACTTGTACATACAGCGTTATTATGCGAAGTGTAAACATATTTGCATTAAAGATTACAAAAAAAAAGAAAGGAATAAGTGGGATTACAACATAAAACTAATGCAACTAAAGACCAACATAGATATTCATTTGGCAGTACTAATGAGAAGACGAGTTGAAATATTTGAGGAGGTTAGTACGAATTCGACAAAGATTGTTGTCGAAGACATCAATGTGACCTCCAGATTCTGATATTAGTTAATCATAGTAGGTTCGGCACATTCTAGTCACGGGGTTATAAAAGGATGTATTATTACAATAAACATTTAACACATAGGTTTTAGGACGACGAAGGTTTGGTTTAATGTTAAAGTTAATATGAGATAGCACACCAGGAGAAACAAGGCTACCGTGTATGAGCCTATGTAAGACTCCAATATCCTATCCATAGTGAACAAATTTTGAAATAGGCCAACCTCTCTTGGTAAGTTGCAAGAAAGCGACCCAGACCCGATCGGAATGCGACAATTTTAAGAGCCTTGTTCTGTACTTGTTCTATGCGGTTGGAGTGCATTTCATAATAAGGGGACCATATAACGCAGCCGTATTCAAGTAAACTTCTTATGAGACTATTGAAGAGGTTGATAAAAGTGGAGGGTCTTTTAAAGTTTTTAGTAGCTCTTACGATGAAACGATGTAATAATCATAATGATCTTCGTTCTAAAGGTGAGCTTTTCATCAAAGTATATGCCCAGCCAGATTTGCGTTGAAGTGTTTTGCCGCCGATTACATAGTTAAAAAGTTAAGGTAAGTTAAGTTTGTTAGTGAAGCTCATCACAAAGCATTTGTCAACGCGTACGTGCATATAATTTTGTTTGCACCAGTCTGCTATTGGCATCACTCGCTGCAGTGCAATGCAGTCATCTATGTCTTTAACGGTTGTGAACACCTTAAGGTCGTCAGCGTATAGTAGACACGGGCATTTCAGCCTATGGATCAGGTCATTAATGCAAATATTTAAAAACAATGGTCCTAGGTGAGAACCTTGAGGTATGCCAGATTTGATTGGCTTGGGAACCGATTTAAAACCCTTTACAGCAACTAATTGACTACGATTCATAAGATAGGATTGTACCCAACGTAATAGGTTTCCATGGATACCGTATCATGAAAGCTTTTCACACAGCAAAGCATGATTTACTTTATCAAAAGCCTTCCGGAAATCGGTATATATCGAGTCCACTTTAATGAATTTCACGGACTAACTTCGTAAATGCTGGTGGATAACGATATCGTATCCGAATCCGAATCGAACGATTTCTTCTTCAATACGAGAATGGTTTCCGATCGAACGATTCGGTTAAAATATCGAAGGGTTCTGAATCGGGGTCCAAGTAAAATTACAGGCGCAGTGACAGTGCCCCTCAGATCTTTGCAAAAAAGCTCTGAGTGGCGCTGCAACTATTATGGACAGGCGTGTAGCTTACCATCAGGCGCACAACTTGTTTGTCCCGTCACTTGACATTATTAAAAAAAAAATTCAATCACTAACAATCGATGCTGCCTTACGAAAACTACTAAATCTCGTTTAATCTGCAATTTAGTCTTAAAATTAAATAAACTTAGGTTATGTTTAGTGACTACACAGTTGGCATGCCATCGACTCCACATTGAAGAGAATAATGACAGAAAATTGCAATGGCAGTTGAATAACTTTTAACAAATACCTCTCCGCCTCCTCCGTCGGTCCCTCACTGCCGAGAATCATGACTTTGAGCAAGTATACCGTCAATCAATCCTCTCCATTTTCAGCCACCTGGTCACACCATCGTTTCGAAGTTCGACCTCTAGGTCGTTTGCCCTCAATCCTGCCCGTAACAATCACGCCCTCGAGACTATCAGCGCTTTTGCGTGCAATGTGACCAAAGAACTGCAGAATGCGGATCAAACAGACGGAAGATAAGCGTTTGTGGTTTTGCAACTGCAATTCCTCAAGCACGAGTACGTTCGTACGATGCGCAGTCCAGGGAATCCTTAATTATTTATATTATTGTTAATCCTTAATTAACAAATACCAACCGTACAAAATCCCGCCATTGATACTTTATCGACATACTGAGATGATGTAAAATTAGAAGACTAACTAAGAATTCACGGAGCGATTTTCACCTGCGCCCGCCGTGGTCGCGGGACCGCGGCCTCCGAGGAATGTAGATATGTCTGTAAAATTTAGTAGCACATTTCACGACGCGTTTACGCCCGTGGCGGGGACGGTTACTCGTGGGAGCCGCAGGGTCTGCGGGATACTAGTAGAACCGCCCGGGATGCGGACACCCGCGCGCTTGGCAGTCGACGCCCGCGCACTCTGCGGTCGGTTCGCCCGCGACGATCTCTATCGTTCGCAAATAACCACGCGACTGGCGATCATCTCCCGCCAAGTTTGTCCCGCAACCGCGGCGGCTACGTGACCGCACAAACCTGCGGTATCATGAGTATTGAAATAAAACGGCTGTCCCGCAGCCGCAGCGGGCGCGGGTGGAAACCGCTCCGTGAGTTCTTAGCCTTAAGGCCCAGGAATTGACGCGTACGGGGTTCGGGGAATCTTGATGGTATATCAAGATTGTGGTACGCGCGCCCCGCCTACATCGCCTTTCTATAGATTTCTTTCTGTACCTTAAGTACTATATTATAAAAGTTCATATTTCTTTACAGCTCCACGAAATGTTCCAGTACGAGTATGAGAAACGACCACCTTCAGCTAACTCCTGCGACAGTCGCGCAACAATGACCACTGACTGGAGCCGATCGTACCCCAGACCGTATCAGCAGAGGCCGCCGAGTATCGAGCATGCGCGACGGCCTTTACCGCCACGGCCTATTGTTGTTGAACAGATGCCGACAAAGACCACCGTAAGTAACTTAGACATCAGATCAAATAAATATTAGACAATGTCACAAATGTTGCTCTGATTCCAAAATAAGTAACTGAAGCACTTGTCTGCCGCCAAGCAGTAAAATTACAGGCACATGGGACTTCTTCAATAACGTCTTGTTCAATTACATGTCAACCTATGTCTCAGTGGAAGCTCTGAGTGGCACTGCAACTGTTATGGATAGGCGTGTAAAAAACTTATGTTATGGAAATCAGAAACAACGACGACATCACAAACGCCAAGACCCGACACCACATCGCCGGTTTGCCAGAACGTGTTATCTCTAATACATCGACATATATAACACGTTCTGGCAAACGGGCAATGGAAAAATTAGTTTTTCATTCGAACCCGTCCCGATGTGGACCGACGATTTGGTAAAGGTCGCGGGAAGCCGATGGATGCGGGCAGCATAGGATCGGATCGGAGGCAGCACGAACTTTCACAGCTTTCTCTCTCTGGCACTGGTATGGATCTTCTGGGAAATAGCTCAGAATTCCGTTACTCTGGTACTCATAGCACAGGGAATTCTCTAGTTTGAGACCAGACAATGCCAGGGAATTGGTGTGGTTATCTGGCACACATCACCATTACTTACTTAATACATGCTTAATACGCTGGCTCAGCTACCCGAAGTGGATCTTGGCCTCCGACACTAGATGCGCCACTCTTCTCTCTTCTCTGCCGCTTGTTGCCAATCGGTTATTTGAAGCTGACACTTGGACTTGATCGATCCAGCGATATCTAAAACGTCCAACCGGCCTTCTGCCGTCGGCTTCCCCAGCAGTCGACTTCCCCAGATATAGAGCATATCTGGGCTGGCCAAGAAACTACTCTCATATTTTTTCTTTGCAGGCTGTTTTGATGTTTGTCCGCTGACCAAGTTTCGTATTAATTTACAACCATAACTACGTTGAAGGAACTATTGTCGTAAATAGTGACGTGCTGTAAATTTTGTGGAATGTATGATTTTGCGACACAACTCGGCATTTGTTATTCGAAATTGGAAATTTTTGAAAATGGGATCTTATACGATCGTCATTTGTGGGATCGGTGGCCAGCACAACTTCTACCTCCGGCAAACTCGCGTCAAAGCTCAATGCAAACGAAAGTAGTTTCGAATTGACGATATATTAAGTAAACATTTTTATTTAGGTTTTATTAAAACTTTTTAATCAGCTAACCCTTGCAATTAGTTATAAATCTAAAAATTTATAGATGCGACTCACATTTGATTATATTTTTTTCGATGATGAATTAAGGGTTGACCTCACTATTGTTAGTAGCAGTAGAGCTCCTTGTGAAAGAATTCGTCCAGGGAAGTACTGCCACCTTACCTGTTTCTGCCGCCAAGCAGTAATGTGATTACTGCGTTCCGGTTTTGAAGGGTGAAATTACAGGCACATGGGACTTGTCAACTTATGTCTCGGGGAGTCGGGCGCAGTGGCAGTGCCCCTCATATCTTTGTGATTTGAAGCTGTGTTCGTCACTTAGTACTAAAAGAACAAATATAAAAAAATGTAATCTGACAAAACGGCCATCATAGCGTGCCGATATTGTAATATAAAATAAATTATGATGTTTGTTTCTTCATTCTATATGTAAAAATGAGAAACACGACTTCTTGCACTATACGTTTATTCGTATTTTCAAACTAAAAATCTACAACAGAACTGAACATTTTACCAATATTACACAGTTTTTATTAACTACCCCTACCCTACTACCCCACTATTTAACACGAGAACGACGAATCAAATCCTATACTCAATACTGATTAGACTAAATATTTGTACATTAAAACCACAGGTAGATTTACTTATAGTAATAAGGATAATATATAATTAACGTGATGTATAATTAATGAACAATAATAATCAGGCTGTATAATTAAGTTCCTAAACGGTAATATTCAACATCACATGGCTACTCAAGTCCTATACTCAGGACTTGTTCAAATCAACAACTGTACTTATTATCTATCTTCTATATTATTATGATTATTACAAATACATTGTATGATTAAAATGATAAAATGCTTACATATGAGAAAGGAAATAAGAAGACATTTTTTCTTTCTTTATTTCAATTGTTCAATTGATTTCAGTCACAATAAAAAACAAAATAGAAAGGGGTTAATAATGTACCTGATAACAACACGAGTTAACCTGGTCTCAAACTAGGAAATTCCATGTACTATTTATGTAGCACCAGAGCAATGACTATATTCAGTTCGATACATTACCCAGAATACAAAATTACAAAAATACGTAAATAATATAATTCCAAGTTCCTACCGCGAATTGAACCCGACATCCAGCGCAAACAATCCGCGATGAGTTATAGCATAAAACTTTCCCCACGGGGTAATGTACTAAGCAAAAGGCCATACGTTAATGGAAAACTACTTACAAATCTAACCTTGTTTAACATTACACCAGTGAGGTCACTTCTTTAAAACTAACACATGACTGAGTTCGATGACCATTTGCCTAGTTCTTAAGCAATCAAAGCAGCACGTAACGCCGTTTGGAAGAGAATGTTGGGTAGCTTATAGAATGATAGGTATATGACTCAACTTACTTAATTTCATATATTTGAGATGTGAGTTACTACAGAATTACTTGTAAAACTACTAAGTTTAAAGAAGCAACTCCACACTTAGTCCATCTTGCAAACCTGTGGATTTTTACTTACTACTAAATAGGGATGCATATTACGATTCAATTTTTAACCGACTTCAAAAAGAGGAGGAAATTCTCAATTGGACTGTATGTTTTTTTAATGTATGTTACGCGATAACTCCGGTATTTGTGAACCGATTTTCATGATTCTTTTTTTGTTGGAGAGAGGGTACCTCCATAATGGTCCCATTTCATTTTGAAGAAAATCATCCACCTATGAGGGTGGCTGATCGCGCATGAACATTCATTTTTATAAATAGCGCCTAAATTTTATTTAAGTAGCAATTATTTTAATGATTGGTTTTGCTATTCTCCAGTTCAAGGCGTTTTTCTCTCTCAGTATACTTTGAGTAGTGAGAACCGATTTTTATTATCTCCTGTGCCAAGTCCATAGTGGCGAACTAGGGGATATTTCAATAAAACTTGGCAAATAGATGTAATTCCACGTACTTTTGAGGTCGGTTTTTTTAGCACTCTGTACTGAGATTATTATGAAAATCGATTCAACTGTAAGCGATGTAACGATTTTATGTATAGATTTATTTCAATGCGATTGTTCAAGCGAATCGATTCAATAGAAAGGTAAAATATTTGAAGCAATAAACATTTTATAATATCGTTATGTTTGAATAAAATTTGATTTACAAATAATTAGTTGTAAACAGCTTTTGCCATCGATTTCGGGCATCAATGAGTTTTAACCCGATTTTAATTTAACATTCACAAAGCCGGGCTCTGTCAGTGAAGTATTCAGTTACAGCGCTGCTGGTCTTTATGAGAAGCTACAGTGCTTCACACTGAGTTGGTATAGAGTGTCCTACTTATATGTAGTGAACAATAGGGATGTGACACTATTCATCGACTAATCGATTAGACATTAGAGACAGCCCGCAACCGCCTTTTTACTAGTTGCAAAAATCGTCTACGACACGACTACGTAACTTAACACGTTCGTCGCCGGCTAAAATTTTCAAAAATGTTCAAGAGGGACATTGGCTTATATGAATGTTTTTGGGTTCATTTGTGTAATTACGTATACAAACGATATTTTTATTATTTAACTCTATTTTGGGATGTTTTGTACTAGGCATGCGACCTAAATATAATAATTATTCAGTTTTGGCCGCGTCGGTCACAATGCCAGGCAGAATACCTACACGTACAATCTATGTCAAAAACTGACATGTCTATGGAATTTAGATTGACTTCATATTAACCATTTTTTGCATAGTCTATAACTTTTATTTTCAAGTTGATATTAAAGTAAATTTTTTATTCGATTTAATTTTCTTCGAAGTCTAGAAAAGTAAGCCGTCAAAAATCCTAAAAACCAAGTAGCAACTTAAACTTTGAAACTTGAAGAAGTTCATTAGGGCCGTGCCGATCATGTTATATGACTAAATATATAAGGCGTGAATGAGCATTGCAAAATTAGGCGCCGGTAATTGTAACTCCCTACGGCCCCAATATGAAGATGAGGTGCCGATCATTTTGACCCACCGCAGCGTGGAACGTGTTAAAACTTTACGTAAAAGCACATCTTGTTCGAGGCCAGTGTGCACAGGTCTTTCTTACCACACGCCACATATTGTATCACAATAATGCGTCACAGTATGTGTATGCAAATCATCGAGTATATAACCAGAAATACGTGTGGCGCACTATAAGTTTCCGGAATGAATAAGAATAAAATGCTATAAATGGTCAGAAATGAATTTGTTGTTTCTCAAAATATTCTCCGTTAGCGTTAGTGCACTTTTTCATACGAATGAACAAATTTTTAAAACATTTATGCCACTCCTCCGTGACAATCTCTGAAACATATTTTTCATACTCTTCGACAGCCTCTTCAGGTGATGAAAATCGTTGTTTTTCTTACGCACTGTTTCTTACACACACTTTTAGTTACGCACTGATTCTTAATTTTTAGAAACAAATAAAAGTCACAAGGTGCCAGGTCGGAACTGTACGCGGGATGGCTCATAAGGTCAACGTTGTTTACCTTCAAAAATTCATTGGTCTGTCTGGCCGTGTGAGAACTGGCATTATCGTGGTGCAAGATGATACGGGGTTTACGGTTATTTTTACGGAGTTTTTCGTGTACCAATCACTATTCACGGTACAACGATTCTCCAAAGCAACAGTAGCCACGTGTCCAGTTTTATTAAAAAAAGAATCAATCATCCGCTTAGAAGCACTTTGTACGCGCGCCACTTTGGTTGGTTTCGGCTCCTCTCGAAAGCCCCGTACGCTCGAATGCTGCTTTGTTTTGGGATTGTAACTATAAATCCTTGTTTCGTTACCTGTTATCATGTCCCACACCAAATTTGACGCCCCTTCGTTGAATCTGAAAAGCATGGCATTGCACCAAGTCCAGCGATCCGTTGTTTGAGCCTCAGTCAAATTATGTGGGTTCCACCTAAAGCACAGCTTTTTCACACCCAAATATTTGTGTAGTATTGATTGTATTTGACTCATGCCTATGCCTAATGATATCCAAATCTCATGGTATGTCACATGTCTGTCGGTTTTGATCATACAGCGCACAGCATCGATGTTTTTGTTGTTCACAGCAGTGGACGGGCGACCATCACGAAATTCGTCACTGAGATTCACACGACCGCGTTTGAATTCTGCAAACCAGCTATAAATAGATGTCTTGCATGGTGCTTCATCGCCAAAAGCAGCTTGAAGCTAGACCGAAGCTTCGCTGATCTGCTACATTACACTTAAAGTCGTAGAAAATCATACTACGAAAATTTTCACGAGTAAAATCCATGGTGAATCATAAGAATCCATGGCGATGACACAGACAGAGACAATGACGCCACAATGTAAAAACAAGTGACAGTCAGATGAAACAACTGTATTCTACAGCCAAAGAGTTCCATTTTCAAATGTTCTAATTACTTTTTAAATATTGTTTATGTAAGTGGCCAGTTCCGGAAGCTTATAGTGTGCCCTATCTAGAGACGACATAAGGGCCATCCATTCTTGGCAACTCACCAGGATTGCCTGGTAATATAAGGCGATATAAGGCACTGGCCTTATATCGCTTTTAAATATCAACTTCGTTTGCACTGGAATCACAAATTAGAAAGTTGAAATAGTACAGTGCAGTGGTCCATACCATTTCAAAATGTATTTTACTTCGTTTGTTTCCCGGCGCGCGTTAGGGAGCATTCCCATCATGTCGTAACTTTTTATTTATCGTTGGACGACTGTCGTGTCTAGCTGTTCCCACTAGATCGTGACGACAATTTATCGATTCACAGCAGCCGCGTTGTCATTTGCACAACAGAATCGTTTGAAGCTGCGATTATACATCGTCACATTTTTATCGTAACGTTTTATGTATCATCAGACGACTGTCGTTTTAGCTCTTCCCATTGTCACGACAGTCTGTCATCGTAATGTCAAAAAAGTCGTGGACGACAGTTAATCGTGTTGTTCTATGTGTGAACAACTTCATTTAAATATACAAGACACGACACTTTAAACTGCACGACTATCTGTCGTCACGACAGAATGGGAACGCACCCTAATGGCTTGTCGTACAGTACGTCGTACAGTCGTTATTTTCAGTCGGTAAATTTATTTTCCCAGGTCCCCCTAAAGGTGTGGATCATTGCGAGCGCGTCTTGTTTCGCGGTGTGCGCAGCTCTCGTCCTTGCCACAGTTGTCATCACCAAGTGGGGAGCTACCGACTACACCAGGGAAATCTACGCTCCTCAGCCTGTGAGTTTATTTAAGTCGCAAAATAATAATAAACAGCTTGTAATAAAAAGTTTAACACGTAATAACAAGTAAAAATGTAATAACCTCGCCTTGCCGCTAGATGGCGTTGGCAGAAAAATAGAACGCGCCATCGAAGTATTCACTAAATTACCATATAAGCTTCGCTCCCGCTTCATGCCCACCGCCGCCTTCTGCTTCGATGTGGCTAAGGCCTTCGACAAAGTTTGGCGCAACGGCTTACTTTACATTCTGTACAAGCTCGGCGTTCCTGACCGTCTCGTGACTTCTTGTGGAATCGCTCTTTCCGCTACCGAGTCGAAGGCGCACTGTCCTGTCCTCGCCCCATAAGCGCCGGAGTCCCGCAAGGCTCCGTCCTCTCGCCCCTCCTGTTCTCCCTGTACACTAGCGATATTCCGAAATATCAGTCTGTAAGTCTGTAAATTACTCGGCGCGCAGTTCCAAGCTAGTTTCCGCAGCTCTCCAATCTGCCACCACACGCCTATCCTGCAAAGCACGGGCCTTCTGTAAGGAAAAAATTAAGGCAAAAAAATCCTTTTATCTGACTGGACTCAAGCCAGTGTCTGTTGCAATGCCGGGATTCCGTTCTTAACCAACTGCGCTACCGACCGAGTCGGGTACTTTCTTTTGATTTTTTGCCTATTATTACAAGTTTAGATAAAAATAATTAGCCTATTTTATTATACGATATATATAAACCATTTGTTCAATTCACAGGACCCCGTCTACTCCATACCATATCAACAAGAGAAACAAAAGGCAACCACAGAAGCAGAAATAACAATGAGTTCAGAGGAACTTGAAAACGAGGTCCAGTTTCCAATATTGGAAAAGCTATCAATATTCAAAAACATAGTTGCCAATCGCGAAAAGAAACGAAATGAGAAGAAAAATGAAAATTTGAGTACAAAATCACAAATTCATCCTATTCATGACGCACACCATATTGACTATGGTGAACGAAGAATAGAGAAGAAAGACCAGGCAAAGTTTCACGAAGAAGTCGTTGAAACAAAAGAACACTTGTATACGGATCCAAAAGATGAATTAGATTTGAAACCAAACGACCAAGATGGTTCAAATATTAAAGAAATAAAATTCGATAACGAGATAGACTTCAAAGCATTCAAACACTCAACAAAAATCAATACTGATGAAAATGAAGCGATTCGTATAAATATTAATAATAACAACAAAAAACCAATACCAGATTTCAAGCCTACATTACCTGAAGTTATAATAAACAAACAAAGTATAAAATTAGTTGATACAAGAAACTATATAGCGCCACAGATAGATTATGAAGAGTATTACAATGATCAAAATCTATACGACGATTACTTGGAAAGCAATTCCATGACAAGTTATCTTATTGAAAAGATACAGGAGTTACATGATTGGATAGTAACAGACCCTGATTTCGAGCACATCAATGGCACTAAACCAAAGTCCACTGGCATCGAATTTGGCCAAGTCCTAAAAGCTTTAAATGATAGTCTAATAGAAGGCAATGTGACAATTATTATGAATAAACTGAGGGATATTTATTTCGGAGAGAATTACACTCTTGCCAATCATACAAGGAAGGTTATTTTGAGTAATAGTACAGATCTGTTATCGTTCGGCATTTTGACGTTAGATGTGATGTTGTTACATAATATACAGCTGATGGCTTGGGAGAACCAGGTAACTAATGTATAAACGACCTTGTTTAAGTGTTAAGTTTAAATACGAATGCTTTTTTTATTGTGAAATTGTTTTATAATGCCATAACTCTTAGAGACCTTCTGTCTGGCGGTTTCCTAATCTAAAAAATATTAAAGGACATACATATTGGATTCAGTATCAGTTTCCAATACGAGAAATTACGGTCCGAAATGTCATAGCAATCATTTTATCTCTAGGTGTACAAGCGATATTTGTATTTTCTCGGACATCCGAAGTGGGTACGAGTTTTCTTGGATTGTCTTGATTTCGAATTCGGAAAGAATATGAATCTGATGCAGTGCGCAAAAGCGCTAATGGCTTGGTCTGTTGCTTCTTTTTGGGAATTTAGGGGAGAAATTGAAATTTACCAAGAGCTTTTCGGTAAAGGAAAACGTTATGTTGAAACCTGCATGTCGAAGAAGGGTCCCACAACCATCGGGAAACGCGTGAAGTGCCCAACCCGCATTGGGTCAGCGTAGCGGACTATGATCTAAGCCCTCGCTTGAAAGGAGACACGTGGGTAGTGGGACATAAAAATTTGATGATGATATGTACGGAAATACAAACGAAGTTTGATTTGTTATACAATATCACATACATTGCTCTGATCCTAAAGTAAGTAACTACTCGCAAAGTACTTGCATTAGTCGGGGGGTTTACCCAGATCCGAGACAATATAGAAAAGTTTTTCTACACTTACCGGCCGGAGATCGAACTCGAGACCTCAAAGATAGTGACAGCATCAAAACCGGTAAGCAGAGCCAGTCGACCGCGGATATCGCCAAAGAGCTGCGTCTAAATCGAATATATTTCTTTGTTGCTCGAGCAAGCAAATTTGTCCTATCTACCAAGTGTAAATACGTCATAACGCTTTCGCGAGATCAGGTCTTATTCTTCTTTAGCCGTTCTCAACCTCTGAGGTGTGGTGTCCTTCAGTTTACGCCATTTTTCCCGGTCTCTTCTTCTTCATTTTACAACTATCTTGCACCAAGTGCCTTTCTTGCGCGCGACGTGGCCAGCCCACTCCCAATTCGAGATCAGAGAGTCTATATTATTTCCCTTTCTTTTAAATCCACTAACTAAATGCCATCAATTTCTAGGAGACAGCGCGCTACAAGATGCTAAAAGATCCTGACGTGTTTGCGTTCAACGCCCTCTTCATGGAACCAAGCAAGGTTGAGGCAAAGCAGAATGAGGTTCATCAACAACATGATAATGCATTTTCGTAAGTTTTTATCAGATATAGTTACGTTCTTTTTGGGATCACATCCTTTTAACCTAAAGTTTCGTTTGTAATTTATAATTTATTTTGTATTTTTTTAATGAAATATAAATATGAGAAAAAACACATAAATTTTCTTATCTGTGAAAATGTTATTATTGCTTCGTAATAACATCGAATTCGATTTATTACATTCAAACGAACATCTCTGAAAAACAAAATAATTTGATTGGACCTCAATATTCTAACATCAGTCGAGATGAAGTTTTATTCGAAATGAAATATCAATAGCTAACAGTTTTGACAATTTCACACGTTACTTGATATCGCACGATCTGATAGTTTGGGCCGACTCTCGTTTATCTATGAATTAAAAATAAAAACTACGGTTATGTGACATGCGTGAGAAAATATTTTATTTGCCGCCATTTCGCCAGTCGTAACATGCGGTTCCTGAGTACATCACAGAGAGCTTATAATATGTTTATAGATAAAGCAGTGTATATAATTGTACATACTTATATTTTGTGCTACTTGTGGAGATTTGTAATTAGCATTTTCACCTTTTATTCAACATTTATTTATTGATAAAAATTCGCTGTAAATCTTCCTAAAAATAAATAAAAACTCGCCTGTCGGCTTTTTTCGTAAACCACTTGTTTACTCCAGTAGTTTGTTGTTGTTAATGTAAAGTCATTTGGTCGGTTACGTAAGGTTAAAATCTTTAAGATTTTGTGAAAAGATAAAAAATGGACGACAATTTTTTGTATGCGTGAGAAGACAAAATATGTTAAGGGTTAAAATAAAGAGTACCACAATTCTCGTAGTAATTTCTTACTGCACTGTATTGCATTGCTAATTTGCTAGCAATCGACTGGTTTCCATTTCACTGCGCTTGCGCATCACTCGTCACGCCATATGTCAATTGCTCTTCATTACAGTGAAACGTTACGAGTTGAAAGCCTGCGTTTGCGTAAGTCAGTTGTTAACGGGTTTCCTTAGATATTGACAACGTTGTAGTTCAGTGGTTTTGTCGTTTTGCATCGCTTAGAGGCTCTGGTACGATAGTATGGTATACAGAGTGTATTTTTAAATGGGACTGAATGGATAAATCTGAAACCATAGAAGATACACAGAAACGGTCATAGGAATCATTAGGTTTTTTTTTGTCAAAACAATTTTGGCATAATCAATTTTTTGTAGTGCTGATGGACTCGTTTTATGTTGTTTTGTATGATGCAAAAATAGGGACAGCAGAAATTGGTAAAATTTCCTAAAATTGACTAATAATTTTTGAATCCTAATAGACTCAGTTTTTTATAAGGATCACTTCGTTGTATTGGAAGAAAACAATTGGGAAGCACATATCGGTCAAATTTAATTTAAAAAAAAGATCATACAATGTGAATACAATTGACCAACCTGACGCCGTATACGCACGGACATATTATGTATAATCTCGCTGTGCACTCAAGTTGCATAGCGTGGGTTATTTTATATATTAAAGGGGCCACTTGGTGTCAAATTGGCATCATCATATAGTAGACGTGTTTATTTAGGAAATGAAACTATTTTTCCGGATGTAAATCGCGTATTTTTGTTATTTTTCAAACAAACCAACGTTTCGGTTCTTTTAGAGGACCCATGGTCACGGTTGACTGAGGTGGTAAAGTCATCAACCAGTTATGTCTAATATTAATTCAAAGCACTCTATTTCTTCACTATAGTTACAAAAGTTTGCAATTAAATACATTATTTTTAATTTTACAAAGAAACATTCCAATTTACGCTACATTATGTTTTACAAATTATTTTATTTTAACATTATGATTTTTTAGTTAAGTTTGTTATTAACTAATAATGGAAATTAAAATATATTAATTTTAGTTCTGCAGTCTTATGTTTGTTTGGGATTTTTCATCCGAGGAAATACTGACGATTGTAATCCGGAAAAATAGTTTCATTTCCTATGCGTAATATAAAATCTATAAATCGCGAAAACCTAAGAACTCAGTATAGAAGTGTTTATTGTCGTGTTTGTGGTTGTTTAAATAAATCATCTCAGACGTTCGAATCAACAGAACCACTGTTTTGATCAGATTTTTTATTTGAAACAAGTGTCGTCATCTACAATTTTAAGTGTGTACTAAAGTTAAGCATTCATAATAATTATGTTTCAGCAAACGTCAGAACCTTCGCGATACAATAGAAGATTTTGACATCAGCAAAAGTCTGCTCGAGAACGTCTTGGAGATTGGCATGAGCACAGCACGAGCCGCTATACATCTTGGTAGAGCATACAAGAATACAAAGTAAGTGTTAAGTTAAAGATAAGCATTGACTTTTGAGCCGTAGCAGCCTAAGCGCCCAGTTACACGACGCGACCGCCCTGTTACCACGCGTTTACGTACATTAATAACGATTCTGAATTCTATTTACTAGGCAACGACATTTAAATTCCTCTGAATAATACAACCACGCGGTCGCCGCGTAGACCAATTTTTTGTCTCCTCGCGACGAAGCGTGCCACACCGCCCCTCCTCGCGGCTGCCGAACTTACTGGCGAACGAAGCCCCTGCTCCGATCGCCCGCAGCCGCGAAGGTACGCCGCCGGCGAGCGAGATCGGCCCTCTCCCGACCACGCTCGGCGACCTCCTTAGCTCCACTGCCTCATAGAACGCCGCGTAGACCAAAGACAAGCCAGCCTCGCCCGCGCGCCCGGAACGCTCATTTAAGTTAAAACATGAAAGCTAAATAAATAGAGCGTATTTTGCCATGACAGTTCGACGCACGCGGTCTCCGCGGCGTGACCGCGATGAGATTCGTGTCGTATAAATGCGCACTAATGGTTTTACCTAACGCCTTTCAAGCTGAGGCCGTGGGTCCCAATCAGGGCTCGCACCTCTGAATTTCTCGCAATTTAAGAAAAGGAAAACATCGTGATTTAATCTGCACGTTGAAGAAGGTTCACAACCCTCGGAAAACGTTTGAAATCCCCAACCTGCATTGGGCCAGTGTGGCGGACTACGGCCTCAACCCTCGCCTGAGACACGTACCGAGCAACAGTGTCTCGGGTAAGCCGCCCCGGGTGTACGCACAGTACCCTCCCTATTTACGAGATAGGTACCGGAGCTGCAGGCACGCTCACTTCCCGTTGCACATTGCACAACTAGCGGTTGCCACCGCTAAGCCGTCGACTCTGAGTCCACTACCAAATTTCCTCATTGGTGGCGGAGCTGTGAGGCACGCTCACTTTCCGACGTCGAAAAACGACGTCTCTCCAGTTCCCAATAACCTAAGCGGCTGGAAGGAACGGAGGATATCTAGATGCCCGTGCCCAGCAGTGGGACGTGTAAATGGGTAGATGATCAGATCTTCTTCTTTAGATCAGAGGTTCCCAACTTTTTTGCCTGATAGACCACGTGCCATTTTTTTCTGTCTTGCGTAGACTTCTTGCATTCTAATATGATTTTTTTACAAATTTATTAACGCTAAATGTGTTTTAGACAGTTGATACAGTGCTACTCACTTTTCTGTCCATAACAGTTGCAGTGCCACTCAGAGCTTTAAATGGCAAAGATTTCAGGGGCATTGCTATTGCGCCCGTCATCCAAAGACATAAGTTGACTAGTCCAAGTTTTAGTATCAGTAGAAGTCCTTGTGAAAGAGTTCGTCCAGGGATGTACTGCCACCTTTCTGCCGCCAATCACGTGACCATTACTGCGGTCTGGTTTTGAAGGCACATGGGAATTATCAACTTATGTCTCATTCTGACAGACGCGGTAGTAGCGCCCCTCAGATCTTTGCGATTTAAAGCTCTGAGTAGCTCATGGACATAAACAAACGATTGGGCTCGGCCTGTGACGTGTGGTCACGTTCATATTACGGGGTTGAAAAGCAAAATTATACTTTCTTCAGTTGAAAACCAAAATTTTGCAGGTTCTTTGGAAATATCTCCATATAAAAATTATGTATAAGGTTAGGTTTATTTTATTTTTACTCTTGAGTAATTCCTGTTTATTTTAGCGTTTTCAGGATTTTATATAATCGAGTAAAACACATCCTATCCTGTAACCAATTAGCCCATTATTTAGACAATATCCATATATTTTGTAGGGGTATCGTATATATTTTGTAAAGCTGCTATTTAATAGTAAATATGTATTTAAACCGTTTGGTCTTGAAAAACAGTTTTTCCCGCTTCTCACCTAAAAATAATTACTGACTAGAATTTCTCTTTAATTACAGAGTAATACTAAACCAGCTATCCAACTCCAACCGGGAAACTTTAAACGCAAACATACAAACACAAATTTCGCGAAACATTGATGCCAACACTCACGCCCTTCATCGATTGCAAACGTCCTTCAACAGCACTGCCAACATAACGGGGTATACAGAGTTGGATTGCGTTTGGTTGTTATATTGCAGAAATTTGGTTATGACCGCAAAGCTGAATCCGCCGTATGGAACTATGGCCAGGATTAACGGGTAAGACAAATTATTGTAATACTATAGAATATGTTATACAACACATGCACACATGGCACATCCCGGACGCTCTTTACAACGGTCGAAAGTTATTTAATTTACCTACTACTACACTAAGGTGCTATCTGCACTAAATAAATGAAGAAAACAACGTACCTCATTTCATCTTTCGGTGAACGAAAGAAACGCCTCCCTTTATGCCGTTTACATGATGATAAACAGCCGTACACAGCACAACTCACGACCACTATAAATAGTAACGTACAATGATGTTATATATTAAAGTATAAGTTTCTTAATTAATAAATTAAAGCTGTACTCAAATATCAAAGGAGTCTTAGTGCGAAAGTGGCATGCCGACAGCCTTGTTGCCGTTCAGTCAATGTGACCGTCAATGTGCGGGGCGTGGTGCGGTATCTAAAGCTAGAGAGGGGTGGAGAGTGTCCATTCTCGTTACTTTGTTGTTCTCTGCTAATGGTAGGATAATCGGTTGTTTATTTACTTATATTATGGACCAATAAGCCAAGAGGTCTGCTAATCTCCATACCGTATATATATATCGCACCCTTAGTAATATAAGGGCACAATCCAAAAAAAGTAGATTTTTGGGAAATCGCGTATTAAGATTCTGGATTCCTACATTACACCTATTTTTTTCAAATAATATGCTTATTATTTAAGTTATAAATATGAAATTTGGCAGATTTGTTCTTTGATAAATGTATTATAAATAGCAATAAAAAAAAATATATATAAATAAATTCCATAAGTTTCAAGCAAGTTAAAAAAACACTTTCAAGTTAGACCCATATAGTACAAAAAATATAACAGAAATATGGAGCTATATAAGTTTGATCCCATTTATTATTTAAGTCCCTATCAATTCCCAAATTTCCCAAAAATCTACTTTTTTTGGATTGTGCCCTTATATTACTAAGGGTGCGATATATATATATATATATATATATATATAGATCGTAACTCTTTAATTGGTAAGGGTGCTGTTGAAATTACAGGCACATAGGACTTGTCAACTTATGTCTCAGGGTGACGGGCGCAGTGGCAGTGCCCCTCAGGTCTTTGCGATTTAAAGCTCTGAATGGCACTGCAATTGTCATGGACAGGTGTGTAGCTTACCATCAGGCACACGACTTGTTCGTCCCGTCACTTGATATTATAAAAAAAATGAAAAAAGTCTGAAAAAGTCAATATTCCGTCTTATAACTAGATGGCTCTGACATCCCACAGCACCGTAGAGCTAGACTTGCTTTTTGCGCGAGAACATGGTGATTGACCTACGAAGCAGTGGAATAACTGTTCTCAGATGTGAGCAGTATAGTCTTAAAAGATCCGAATGGACGACAGCGTGTCTTCAGGCGCAAAAATGAGACGATTGCCGTATGCGCTTTAACGGAAACAGTAGGTTATCAGGGAGGGTCAATCAATATCCTGGAAAATCAATAGCCTGGAAGTAGTTTACATTATGTAAATGGCTGTGGATATCATTTAATTCCTCTTTAATATGAAATATAAGAAGTCAGTTTTTTCTAGTTATTATTCAAATATATATCATTAGGTACAATTATTTTCTGAACTTTTAAAAATATGCGTGTCAATAGATTGCATTGTGTGTTACAAACTAATTTCGGTAGATGACGTTAATCCCAGTCAAAATAAAAGGCTGGCACTATCCTTAAAAAAATGTGTATTAAACTCCATCTAGTTGAATTGTTTGTTATCACTAGAAATTAGAGTAGTTTTGTTATAAATTGCAGCCTGGTTAATGTAAAACAAATTACTTACAAGAACAGCTATTTGGAACTCGTCGCGACATCTGGTGCACCAATAGGCATTAAATACCCAACTACGCTGTCTCGTATCGCGGTAGCGTATATCCATGCTTATATTGTAGTCAAATTCACGTAACTGGACATAAACGTAACTGGACAATCCTTATGGCATAGGAAAAGAACAGTACCTGTGTTACCTATACCTAATTATTGTAATTTTGTTGATTTCATTGTATTACTAATTGTTCTCCGTAACTGCACTTTGGCTTAATTTATTAAGAATTTAATGTAACTTTAAATGAATTGTTTAAATGACAAACTTAAATAAATGGCTAAGTAAGTTTATGATTTAACAATAGAAATCGAATTTAAAAAGCTGTGACGTTTGCTAATAGATAAATAAATAAATTGATCATTGTAGATCATTAATCATGTGGTTTTTATTACATTGCCCATTCGATGCGGGCATTATTAAGAGGCGATACTATCTCAGCTCGAATTCCAATTTTTTTCCCGTACTAATACGGTTCATTTTGCTTGGGTCGAGCGCAGGGACACTGGCTTTATTTCAGAATTTATGTCTTTACATACGACATTAAAGTCATTTGAAAAATGTATATCATATAGTATACGTGTTCTGTGTAGTTCAGTTGATATAAAAAAAATCATTGGTATACATATGTAAAGTACCTATTAAATACAATAATTTCTTTATATCGTGAAGATTTTCAGAAATCGTGTTTTTTTACTATATATTTTTTCCAAGGCGATTGATTCAACATTTCCACTATTAAGCGGAATCAACCAAAGCTATATGAGGTTGTATAAACTCCTAAAACAGACCAGCCATTGTTCATCGTGACTAGGCTTTTCCAATTTCGCAGTAAGATATGCATTTATTAACGTTATTTTTTTGTCAATTTCTTAGCATGGCACTGCGTATGCTGACGGGTGACCTGTCCGCTGATCGCGCTCTCGACACGATGTTATACGAAGTATTGACCGGATGGACTGACCTTCGGTGCAACGATATGTTCCCCAGGTATGTCAATAAGTGTCGGGAGGGAGAAATCGTTCGCCACAACACGACACAGCACTAGGGAAACCCTGTATCGCGGGTGCCATGGACACCACGTGACATGAGACCACGTTTCGTGGGCGATTTAAAGCACTGAGTGGCACTGCAACTGCTATGGATAGGCGTGTCGCCTACCATCAGGCGTGTGACTTGTTTGTCCTGTCACTTGATGTAACAAAAAAATATGAAAAAACTTAGTGCGCTTTGCTTTGTTTTCCATCTCACCTAACGGAAAGTGACGATATTTTTTTATTTCTTTTTATTTTAAATTATAATTACGATAATTATTTTTTTAACGCACATACTCAACATAGCCCCGCACTAGGGAAATCCTGTATCGCGAGTGCCATGGACACACACATAGACAACCACAAATTACACCCAAACTCACAAAGGAAGTAAATGTAGGCCATACAAATATTTCTCCCGGCCCGGGAATGGAACCCGGAAGGCGTGGCAGACTACTATGATGACCGTTAGGTCACGGAAGAAGCTACAGCGTCATTCAGAGCTAATATCTGAGGGGCACTAACAACAACAGCAAACCAGACCACATAGGCTGTAGTAGCGAAGGGGTGCCTTCAAGGAGGGGTCTACTGTCGCCTCAGCGGCCTGATTTTAATTAGAATCGGAGTCCATCCGATCGGTTAGCCCATCCGAGTCTCGAAATCAGATGGGTTCCGATTTGAAATGTCAAAAGTTTCCGATCGGCCAGTTTGTGAATCGCGATCATGCGCCTCGACTCGGAAAAGACACAATTTCCAATAGGGAGAGGCAATCAAAATCAAGCAGCTGCTGTCGAACATGGTCGTAAATAAATGATCTCATCACCAAACTAAACAAAGAACATTTCTGATTTCCTTAATACAAGTGCTTTATTTACTTTGGGATCAGAGTAACATAATATGTGATGTCTCATATTTATTTATTTGAAATTTTTATTTCAGGTGTAGCAAAGCGAACGCCGCGTCTGTAGTAATGGATTCAATTTTGGCGCCCCTACGAAAATCCCAATCTACAAGAACACTGTAAAACATTTCAAAAACAACAACTCTAATGCTCTGGCCACACAGAGGCGGCTCGTACATTACAAAAGTACCCGGCCTGAGCATAGAGGTCCACACACATCCAAACATTGATGTGCGTCGCATTTAACATCAATGTTCCGTGCAGCAAACGATGATCAGATGGAATTTTGGAATCCAACACACTGATGACGGTACCGCAGAGTCGGCTGGAACGCCGCGGCATCTACCGATATGCCACCGGTCACTCGGATTTTAATCCCTTCTACGCGTCTTCCGGAGAATTCTCGCGCAATAACAGGAATTCCCGTAACTACCGTATAGTTTGCATGTTACACAAATGACCTAAAGTTCTTTATGATATACAGGGTGGAAAAAAATCAATATGACATAAAGGGGAAGTACCTTTAATGTTTAAGATAGCTAGTTAATTTCGCTTAAAGATAACATTCTTTTAATTTTCTTTATATGAATAACTGCATTCACAATTTTTTTAAAGCTTGCCTAAACCAGGAATCGAACCAACTAAAAATGCAAAAAAATCTCACTAGTTTATTGTACTAATGGATATGATCAACAATAAGAATAAAATACTTAAAATGAACATTTTGCCTTACAATTAAAGATAACCATGAAATCTAATATTAATGTTACGAAGGTATTATACATTAAATATGCAATTTGCAACCTTTTTCCAGACTATTCGAAATTGGAACCTAAAGTATATATTTACATATTATAATTTTCCTGCATTTTAATAAATAAAAAGCCTTTTTTTAAGTTGCTTGAAGTGGGACCCATTTTTTCCATGGACAGATTTAGTCCTTTGAGATTCACTGTGTTTCTGCAAAGTGTTGTGGTGGATGCTCATAATAAATTTTCGAATTTCCTTTAGGTAAAATTAGCTATCTTAAGCATTTTAAGTACTTCCCCTTCATGTCCCATTGATGTTTCCACCCTGTATAGAATTTCGTAACAAAAATTCCATTACGCGTTAATGTCGTCGGTGTTTGCAAAAAGGACGAAAGCGCCATTTTGAAACATTTTTCATCTTTTAGTTTTTCACGACTGTATTAAAATATTTACGTCCTGTTTTAAACTAAATTCGTTTAAAAAGTTGCTTCCCAGATTTTTTTTTTCAAAACGGCGGTAGAAAGCGTGATTCTTTACATCGTCAGTAAACTGAGCCTATAGATGATGCGACGCGTTCAAAATTGAACAGCAAATTGCAGGTATAATAGAATTTTCTTTATTTTTTGTAATATAATATATTTTACATGGGGCGAACTTAGAAATTAAAAGGCTGACAAGATTTTTAATATATTTTTATAATAAAAAACACATAGTACATGGTACGTAAATTTATACGTAAAAGTAGGACTTAATTTAATAGTGCCTCTAGATATTAAGTACAAAAATAAGTATCTTACTTTGATATTTTTATCATCTAAAAATACCACAATGATATCGAAGTTATCCACGACATTGTGTTACTTATACCTTAAAAGTAGACATATTGATAAGTGTCCACGTTTTGTTTTTAGGTGGTGCATAAATGGTGTAATTTGCGCTCTAGAACTAATTATAATTAGGCATTCAAACCTTTAACGAATTTTGGGCACCTCAACTCTTGACATAACCGGATATAACTCGCGTATTTGTTCATTTCAAACAAACCAACGTTTTGGGTCCTTTACAGGTCCCATAGTGACCAGTGACTGAGAGAGAGAGATGAGTAAAGGGCCCGAAATATTGGTTTGTTTGAAAAAACAAATATGCGCAAAATAGTTATTTGTTGTGCATGACTGCAAAGTTGTTGTTTGACGCGGTGCTTGTATTCAAACCTGAGCAAACGAAGGATACTAAGGGTCGTATTCTAGAACTCTACTCAGTGCTCAAGTCAGGATTTGAGTATGGTTTTAAGCACTCGAAATCATACTCAAGCCCCTGCCATTAGGATCGTATTTCCAGTGCTTGTGTTTCCAGTGCAATCCTGACTTGAGCATTGAGTAGAGTTCTAGAATACGATCCTCAGATGGCGCAAAACAATTTTGCTGCCGAGCGAAACACACAACTTTTCACCCCACTATAGCGAGGAAAATGATAGATGAAAGAAAAACAGTTGAAGTTTAAAACATCAGGTTTTTTAATTATAAGAAAAAGTTAATCTTAGGGTGCGTTCTGAATTTACATCTCATCAATTTTTATTGTGTGATTAAGCGATTATTGAAATTATTTTAGTTCTTTCACGAATTAAAATAATTTAATAAACACATGTAGTTAACATTGTCAATTTAGTGTCAACCATATTAAGAACAAAGTATATCAACGGATTTAAATTACGTAAGTAATGTACGACAAATCGCGCAATTGAACGTGTCATTAGCTTTTTTTTTCATCGACGGGAAAAGTTAGGTGCACCACAGTCCATCGTCAAGTTCGAATTTCACAAACCTTTTCCACGCTAGCGTGCAAAAAACACTTTTGCGCGTAGATTTCTAATGAGAAAGAAAGCCTTTCCGAGCTAGTGAGGTGAAAAAATTGTTTCATTTCCTATGTGTAACAATCGTGAAAACCTTATACTCGCGTGCAAAGAGGCGCGCGACCAGCACACAAACAAATCGTACAACGTAATGCACGTGTGCAGCTCGCGAGCCTCTCGCAAACCAGCGCATTCGCCAGATCTGTACGCACCCTTTTGAATATAATTGTTGTTGGAATTTTGACAAATTGAAATAATGCGTCTCATAACAGTGATCTATATATTATTTATTTACTAGAAATTTATCTGTTGTACGGGGTTATTTATAGTAAATCTGAAACACACGGTATTCTTCAAATTAAAAAAAATCTATGAATTTATTTAAGAGATAACATTAGTTTTGGTGGGTAAAAATAGTGTTGTCTTAAAGACCACTTCACTGAATCACTCAGTAAGTCATGAAGATAAATTATTATTTTTTAATAGTTTAACGGTATTAATTTGAAAATACAGAATTTTATAAAAGAAAAATATTAGAAATATGTAGACTAAATGAATAAATAAAAATAATAATATAACAATCACACGAATAAGCTCAGAATTAGAGGATTCGCCGGACAATGGCTTTCATAGAGCAAAGGAATTCACTATGGCGCACTTCCCAGAAGTCCGGAACTAATTTAGAAAAAACTTATTACGTCGATAGTTCTTGAACAAAATTTTGTTTTAATTATAAATAACCCTGTTCTTTCTTAACATTATTTAAGCGCGTTAATATAAGTAATTTCTATTATACATTTATGGACTGACAAAATGTTGTTTAAGGAATTAAAAGTTTAAAATACAAACGTATTCTTTTATTTTTTATATCTAATTAAACCCATATCACTGAAAAAAATAGCTGGTCTATGTTGTTACAGTTTCTACACGATTTAGTTGTTAGTATAAGCATTGTATTGACCTCGATGGTGTAACGGTATGTATGTGCTTGCCGGATTCGATTGCCGGTAGAACCAATTTGGGAAAATAACTTTTCTAAATGCAGTGGGCCGGGCATTTCTGCAGGAGGGTTGATCGCGGATGGAGCAGACTTGTTCTAGAATGGCTAACACGTCAAGGAAAACGTAGTGTGTGACGCCCTGCGGCAAGATGGATGGACGACTTGAGCAAGGTGACCGGCAGTGGCTGGATGCGAGCGGCACAAGACCGGGAAAGTTGGCGTGCCTAAGGGGAGGCTTGTGTCCAGTAGTGGATACGTGGTGTAATGGGAAGTGGTAGTCATAATACAGAGAATTACATAGGCTGAGACCAGGCATTTGATGTGGTTGCCTGGCATATAGTTTTTTACCTGGGTCACATAGTAGATACGGAATTAAAAGACGATTGTGACATGCAAAGGGAGCGTAGGGCGTTGGCGGCCCGAGGGAATATGCTGGCTCGCAGGTTCGCGTATTGTACAGGTGAAGTAATAGTGACCTTGTTCAAGTCATACTGTCAATCGTTTTACTGTAGCGGCCTGTGGGCTAGATATACCCAAAAGACCTTCAACGAGCTACGCGTCCTTTATAACTACATGTTTAGGATGCTGTTGGGGTTGCCCAGGTACTGCAGTGCATCTGGTATGTTTGCCGATGCACACACTGACTGTTTTTATGCTGTAATACGCAAAAAAATAGTTTCAGTGAAACGCAGAATGCTGGGGAGCCCCAACAGCATACTTAGGACATTAGCCGATAGACCGGATAGTGCCTTACAGAGGTATTGGGTATCGGCTCTTATAAATCCTGGACATGTATATTTAATTAATTACTTTTTGTTTTGTATTTATATTTGGTTTTTTGATTCATTATAATTTTTATTGTATTTATTATTTTGTGATTGTGTACTAAATTATTACTAACATAGTTTCTAAGCATTTGTTGTAAATGTAACTAACACCATGGACCCATGTAGTCTTAATAAATGAAATTTTGAATTTTGAATTTGAATTTAACTTTTTTTATAACATCAAGTGACGCTATGAGCAAGTCATGCGCCTGATGGTAAGCTACACGCCTGTCCATAACAGTTACAGTGCCACTCAGAGTTTTAAATCGCAAAGATCTGAGGGGCACTGCCACTGCGCTCGTCATCCTGAAACATAAGTTGACAAGTCTCATATACCTGTAACTTTACTAGCACCCTTACCTTTCAAAACCGGAACACAGTAATGCTGTCATTACTTATTATATTGGACGAACTCTTTGACAACTTGACTGCTGCTGACTTGGGCTGCTGAGGCCAAGGAATTTGTGCGGGAGTTGGGCCGCCGGCTCTGAGAAAGGGGCTATGATCCACGCTCTGGATCTTACCTGGTGCAGCAGATTTCACTGGCCATCCAGCGCGGTAATGCGGCTAGTGTGATGGGGACGTTTGAGCCGGGTACGGTTCAGAGCGGTCCCTTTTAATTTTCGTTCCTATTTGGTTTTCATTACTTATATTATTAGTGTTTTTGATTGAATTTTTTTTTGTGTTTTATTTTAGATGTAATGTGACAATGATAATTAAACATTTTATAAATTAAATGATGATATAACTAATAAAAAAAATTTGAAAAGGAGTTCTACTGCAATTAAATACGTGGTACCGAGTATCTCTGTACAGAAAATACTCTTCGTACGATATAACACTGACCACGCTTCGTGCGGGAGGCGGGGCGCTCGCCGTTCACGCACCCCACGCGGAGGGGCGCGGTTAGACACAGGGTATGGTACACTGCTAGACTTATGCTTGGGGGATGATTTACGTAATCAAACCGTTACTATATCGCTAGATTTAGCCATTGAACTGCTTTTTCGTATTCACGTGTGACAGTGAACGTCAACGAGTCCCATTTTAAAGTCGTTCGATCCAAATGTCGTTAAGAGGGAGCAGAGGAAAAATTCCTAATCTTCGATTTGATTTCAGTGGGGTATATCCATTTTAAAGTTAAAAATAAAATATTTTATGACTCACTACACGATATATTCCAGCATAGACACTAATCAGAAACATAAAACAATAAAGTTTCCTCGATAGATAAAAATCACGAAATGACCTCTAATTTTCACATTTTTTCGATTCATTCTCGAAATGCTACAGGTTATTAGGACAAAAATTAGATAATTAATTATATTTATGCATGATCGAGAACTGTCACTACGGATTTTTTTTTAATCCCTTTAGTTTTAGAGTTATTCAACATCTCCTGTCGCATGTCACGCGAACTTCAGGCATAAGTATATTTGTTTCACAAATTTCGGCGGAGCCAACGTCAAAACTTTTTTGGCATGAGAGCTCTTAAAGCGTATTCCAGTATATGAATCGAACTTGAATCGACTCTTAACGACAATTCATACGTATTCTGCTAAAATTTTGACAGTTCTCTCAATAGACTTTCCACGACTAAATGTCAATTTTCACAACCCAAGATGTCGTTCATTAGTTGTTACGTTTCGATTCTACTCATATCAACGTTCGTTCAAGTGATACGTGAACACCCATTTTGGATAGGACTTCGATCGAACGACTACGTAATTTCAACGATATTTTGATAGCTTGAAATTACGTGAATCGCACTACTGGTCATTTTTTAGTGCGAGCGAACCCTATGTGGCACTTACCCTTACCTTTACCCTCGCGCGGAGCAAACGAAGTGTTGACGCAGATCTCGTGTCCGCCACATGGAAGTCATTGACTTACAAATAAATGGACGACGGGTCTAATACAAAAACCACGAAAAAAATGTCCCAAGTCAACATATTTAAACGTAGTGACATGTAAAGGAATATGAAAAAGCTAAAACGTTGAATTTAAATTGTAATGTCATCGCAGTGCTGTCTAATTTTGCTTGCTTCGCTGTCAGTCGAACAAACGAAGACTAAAGCGTGAATGACGCTCTGTATACGATTTTAACGCCCTATAAGTTCGGACACTTTTTAGCGCGGACCCGACGTCCATATAATTGTAAGTCAATGATGGAAGTGCGCAAATAATAATAATAATAATAATAATTCATTTATTTCAGATAATTTGAATCCATAATTTGTTAGATACACACACTTATAGCTATGTTCGTTTTGTAATGTCTAGTCTCAACTAAAACATTCATTCACCGCTCTGCGATGCCATTGGAAATCGCAGAGCAG